CTACTTTATCTTCAACGTCGCGATGGCATCGGCGTGGGGTACGTTCGCTGTTAAAAAGCTGCAGTTCTGAGCAATGGTGCAGGTGCTACACCACCGAACTGGGAAATTGGCGGTTGCCGCGGGAATGCGACGCATCCAAAGCCAGGCTCGTGGGAGCACAAGGTGACCAACAACATTTGCGACTCGTTCCCGATGTTCCTCTCGGTCGACTACATCCGCGTCTGGTGCGTTCTTTCCGAAGAATTCTGTATCTTACAGAGTCTATTTTCTGTAGGCAAGACACCAAGACGATGAGCGTCGGCTGCGACCCGGCCTCGCATCCGACCAAGGAGTTTATCAAGGCACATATCACCAACTACACCGACCCGAAGAACCCGTATATCATTGTGGCGGGAGGCGCGACCTGCAATAGCAACGACGACTGTACGACGGCGGCTCGCGTCACGGGCTCGTGTGTGAACCGCCGCTGCAAATGTATGGACGTCTGGACGGGCCCCCGCTGCACCAAGTACGACCTCGAGACCGTCACGTACGGCCCGCCGTTGTATGCGATGGCTGGTGTCTGCAGTTTTGCTGTCGTCGGGTCTGTGTTTGGCCTTGTGCTCCGCCTGCGCCGCCACAAGGGCGTCTTGGTGCGCCAGCACGAAGAGATGCGGCGTGAGAAGCACAGCGAGAGCAGCGCCCACCTCTTTCTCCGGGAGCCTTCCCACAGTGATGTCCAGATCACGCGGTAACACGAGCCGAATACATGAGATGCTTTATCCCAAAGCCTATTGTATTGGCGCTGGACTCGGTACGCAGTTGGGAAGCGGACGTCTGGATAGCTTTCTGGAAACGTAGGGTAGTTGTATGCGCTCGCCAGCCCACCAAAATCCGCCGACGCGCCAGAGCACGGGCATCTTAAACGTCAATGAAAACATCTATCTATCCACCTATCGACACTGTATCCGTCAATCTAGCCTCACGTTTATTTTCGCATTTAGGCCCATGATAAACCAATGTGAGGCAGCTGGATGCATCGGGTGCGGTGCGCAATGTTTGTGTTGTGGGATCGTGTGAGGTTTTCGTCATTCCGCCTCCATCACTAGTGTTGACCAGCTCTGGCGTCGACCTCTAGTAGAGGCTGGTCACTGCTCGATCGGACTGAAAAGCGAACGATGGCTGCACCAGCAATGCACCGCCGAGATGTCTAGGCGGGTGAATTGGGAGCTTTCCTCTGTGGCGTGCGTTGCAGTAACGACCACGTTCGAGCATGTATCCATCGACAGGATACTGTACGTCCAGGACGGATAGACTGACGTGCTTAACCAGCGATACTGACAAGCAGAAATTTCAAACCTCTTGATTTCGAACGGTGTCGCTGCGAAGACAGCGCTGACTCTGGTCATGCACATACTCCTACCGGGTACTTGCAACTTGGCGCATATAGTAGCTGTAGTCGACGAAGATGGCACCAGACAACACACTCGACCGCCATGGCGCGTCCGAGGTCGCAGCGGGGGATCACTTCAAAACGCATTTTTCGATTTCATTTGTCATTGGCAGCAGCGTCTTGTTCAGCCAACCTCAACTCCAACTTGACTGGAAAGGTTCTCCATGGCCAGCAAGCTGATCACGTGGTCTCGGTCCAATGCTGCTTTGGACACATAGCCGCTCTGGTTAGTTAATATGAAGGAGGAAAGAAGGGAAATATGTGGGTTGGTCTAGTTTTTTGTTGCATGCGAAATGACCGCACATGGTTTAATAGAGAATGATGCCCAAGCAGAGCGTGCCAAGCCGACATGTTGAAGTGGAGTTGGCGAGTCCCACCACAACACACTCCCTTTGTGGACTCCCTACCACCGGGCATTCCGTGGAAAACACTACGAGCTACTCGCGACCCATCTATTTTACAAGTCGAGTACAATATTATGCATCCTACACGGCATGAAAACAGCTATTTACCATTCGCGAACTAGGCTTCACGGCGGAAAATGCTGTCCACTCTCAAAAACAGGTGGCGCGTCGCGCCGTTTGATTGGTCGACGAGTGTATCGATATCCATCATTCGCGTCGCTGGATCTTGCATCTTGCTTTTACGAGGTATCTGCTCGGGCGATGCAAAGGCGATTGCGTTCAGAACGCATTTCACCATGCCACGCA